CGGTCTGTCGGAGGCGCGCGGCGCCGTGCCGACGCACCACATGGCGCGGCCGCGTCGTAACGACGCGCCATACAGCGTACGGCGTAAGCGCGTATACGACAGCCTGATCGTCGCCGTCGTCCGAGGGGGCCCCGGGAGTACGCGCGGAAGGACGCGTCCCCGCAACCACGGCATTCGCGGGGGAGGGGAGCACACTGCCGTCTCGCACACGCCGCTCACGGCATGAAAACTCGGCTTGACGAAGGTGTTTCTGACGTACCCGCCGGCCCGCTTACCTTGGACGCATCCTCGATGTTGTTGTCGCTCTTGGTCTCCGTCTTTGCGTCAGACATCTCTTCACGTGTGAATCACTCAAAAACACTGGGAAATCCACGATTCCACGGCGAGAATTCGCGCTGCGCCCGGTCGCACTGTTTATACGATAAGGAAAGATGGCGGTTAGCGTGGGTCACGTGATACCTCGTCAAACCTCAGAGCGGGAGTTCGGCGCGCCGTCCCGCGCCGCCGCGATCAACTACGCGCGTAGCGACGCACACGCGACCCCGATCAGCCAGATGCCGAGATTCTCGCCCTCGCCGACGGTATTCCTTGCTGCATGCCCCCCCTTTTTTTTTATTATTATTAAAAGGGCGAAGCTCGTTTACGTCAGCAGTAATGCGATTCTACGTAACTTGCGATATCGTGCACAATAAAGTAAAATTAAATATTGAATATGATTCATCTTTTTATTAAAAAATTTTAAATTCGTAGAATCGCACTCATTTGCTGTCACGTTGTAATACGAGCAACATTCGTTTAGAATAATTAAAAGTACAGCGTAGAATACCGTCGCAGAATTTAAAACCGGAATGATTTGGATAAAGACCGCGCCAGCAATTTTGAAAATAATTTTTACGGGCGTATATTAAATTGTAATTAACATCGCGCACGCGTACTTACTTTACTTACCTGCTCAAAATCCTTCTATGTATTGTAATATGATATATATATATATATATGTGTGTGTGTGTGTGTGTGTGTGTATGTGTGTCGTTCTGTCATAGTTTTCTCTCTTTCGATTTATAGAATTATAAGAGGAAATCAATATAGGAGTTTTTAATTATTTATATGCTGCTTTGAATTAAAGATGTAATTTTTACGCATTGTGAAACATGTAAATGTTGAAATTAATCTAAGAATTGTATATTATAGTTTGACACAAATAAAATAAATTTTTTTACTTAGAATCTAAATAAAATAGAAAGTTGCATAAATACGTAATACCTATTTTTTGTTTTTTTTTTCTCGTAATCGTATTGATATATCCGATCTTAAATGTCTTTATCTCTGTCTACTCTATTCTGTAAAACAGATTATCAGAAAAAGTTCCATAGTTAGCAAGCTTTTAACTGTTGATTTTAACAGTAAGTCATTAATGCGTTGGCATTCTTCGAAACCAGAATCTCGCCCTAAAATCGTCACTGCATGTCAAAAATGCAGGCGCGGTTGGTGAATGTATGATCATCCTCACAGGACCGTTATGACCCAATGACAGCAACTGTTTTCGTGATGCGTTACGAGAATTCCATGCACACAACGAGGTAGTGGCTTCGTCAGGGAACAACACATAGTCTTCAGTATGATTAAAGATCGCCTGTGCCTTGTGTTCCTGTCTACCTGTGGAAAACAGTTTAGTCAGTCGTATATTCGTGATTGTATTATCATAACATTAACAAGACATACTGCACCGAATGTATTCCAAGTACATCAAAATGCATTTATAATCTTTTTACCTGTAGTTCCGGCACCTGTATACGCTATTAGACATCTGCTAGTAGATAATTCCCATAATTTTATCAAGGAATCCTTTCCTGAGGACAATATATACTGGAACCCAAAATTATATGATTACTCAAAATTAAATGGGGAAATAAAACACTAAGCTTCCATCGGCAATTTACACGTATAAATCTTGTGCAACGTTACCGCCAGAATTACTACCTTGCCATTCCTTGTGAATGTCACTGAGCATACTTCATAACCATCGTGCGCTTTTGCGAAAGTATTTACACATCGATTTGACACTCCATCCCACAGTTTGATGCTTCCGTCTTTTCCTGCCGATACATAAGTCTTTGCATCTGGAGAATACTTGATGCTAGTTATTCCAGCTGTATGCTGATGATTCGGTATGCTACACACAAAACATTGTGCAGTATTTACATCGTATAATCTAACTATCGGATGATTGGTCCCAACTATAAGAAAATCTCCGGTTGGATGAAAAGATAGACATCGAATTTGATCTGCATCTGTAATGGTCCTGAAAGCCTTTTTAACGCTGGCTTTACTAAAATCAAACAACTTCACAGAGAAGTCACGACTGCCAGACACAAGTATAGGCTCCCTAGGATGAAACTCCAAACATGTTACTTCTTCCAAGTGATCGTATAAAGTTCTTATAACTGGATGACCTCCAGTTTGATCTCCAGGTGCAATCTCTTCTGGTGCAGACTTGGCTAGCATTCTGTCTACATCTAAAATCTTGATCGAGGCATCTACAGAACCAGTAGCTATTAGCTGACCATCTGCTGAAAAAGCTCCAGCCCTGCAGTTTCCTTTGTGGGATGTGACGTATGCTGTTTCATATTGTGCTGGTTCTGGAGCTTGAGTCTGAGCTTCTGTCTCAAATTCTAGGTCTAATCCAGGACCTAAAGTGTTGTCAAAACTTGATGTAAACGAGGATAAGTTAGTGCTATTATCCTTCTTGGAACGATCTGGTTCATGAGCAGAACCAATCAACATCAAATGAAGCAGTCGATCTGAAGGTGGACATGGTGGATCTGTCTGTATCATATTGGATAGCTGGACAGCTAGAGTCTGATGACCATCGTAGAACAGCTGACTGAAATATTCAACATAACTTACTTGATAATCCATTGCACATGTTCCACTTTTGTTATCTTGCTGATGAAGCTACAATTGTAAATTATACTTGCCATTGGGCGTTTATAAAAAAATCGCGCTTTATATAGAGAATATTAATGATGAAGGAGCGAAATTCAAAGGAAAGCGTACAAAAGAGACGATTATAAACAACCTGATCATTAATCTGTAGAGCAGCTCCCTGCTCTTTATGATGTTCTTCGGATCTGCCTCAGGTTCCTTCATTGCACTCTGACCCGCCGTGTTCCCTGAAGGTGACTGAATGTTGGCGAGTTTAACTAGAACCGTCTAAAAAAAATACTTTAAACCGCCTATTAATCGATGACCCCGGCCTTTTTTGCAGGTTATGTCGCGTTGTTGTCACTCCATTGCATTTACGCTCATGCTTCTGCATCGCTTACATTTGATTGGTGATTCAGGTAGTCGCGACCAATCAGCGGTGCGCGCCGTTGTCAGTGCGAGTTCCACGTGACACGGATTTGCGAGAAACTCCACAATGGCCGAGATTGATAGCAATTCAGGATTAAATAAGACCATCTCTGAACAAAAGGGTGCATGCCGCAAAAAGTTGTCGTTGAACGAGCACGCTCTACGAAAGCGGCAGGCCTTTAAGTTCGCTACAAGTGATAGAGATATCTATGTGAACAACAAGACACCTTTCAAGGTACCTCATGTAAAAGTCATCATAACCTTCCAATCGTTGCAACTTCGCTGTAGATTCAAAACAAATGCGCATTTGTTTCGAAACTCTGTCGTCGCATTTTCTCAGATATTTGTAAATATTTTAAAGGGACAATTATACAAATGTGAGAAACTGCTCGATAAAGGTGCTTCTGAATTGGTTATCCATGGGCTTGGTGCTGCTGTGTGCAAAGCAGCCAGCTTGGCTTTACGATTGAAGGAAATTCATCATGACACTTTAGATCTTGATGTTAAAACCTCTACCATCACTTTAGTAGGTATGTATACTTTTCTATACACATAATCAACATAATCAACTAAAACGAAAGTCTAAGAATGTCTTATTAATTACAGATGATCTAGAAGCATTAAACGACAATGTGGACGATGAGATAAACAATAGGCAAAACTCTTCTATACACATACGTGTCATTAGGAGAGTGCCAGTGGCTGTGCTGAGATCTAAATTAGGAACTAATTGATATTGAGACTTTGTAAAACGATATGTTTAAGTAATGAGTGTGTAGATAGAGTGAATAATAGAATATGTATAATAGAGTGAATGGAATTATTAACTACATTATTATTTCAATATAGTTTATAGAGAATTATAAAATTTTTTTTACAATGATCTTCTCTTTAAACGAACTGGTTCACTGGTTAGGTTTAACAATTTTTGAGATATGGATCAATTTAATTGCCTTAATGTTCTTCACTATTTTGTTAGCTTTAAAATTAGATGGAAATTTATTTTTGGGACCATCGGGATGGTGGGAAGTATTTTCGCCTCTCTTTGTAGCAGATGGTTTAAATACGTATTTTTGCGCTATTATTTTTATAAGAATGTACATGGAAGGAATGATTAGAGCAGGCATTTTGCGAGCATTATGGAGTCAAATATCATTATTATTAATCTTTGTGTTTAAATATCTTCTGTGTAAAAAGCTCTCTGGACAAAGCACATTGGAGTATTCTGAAGTTTTGAGTCCTGTATTTATTCTTCTGCAATTGATTGCTGTCAGAGCTTGTCAATTACATTAAGAAAAATAGAAGAATTTTCCTGTATACTACTTCGATACTTCCAGAGTCATCATCTGTGAGAATGATATGTATTATATAATATACTTGTACATATATTTTGTCAGATTTATTTAGATTAAATTATTTAAGAAATTTGATCTTTCTGTAAATATAATATTATTAAATATTTTTATTCTGCTATTTAATATTATAACGTATTCAGGTTGTTTTTGAACACGTTATGCAATACAAATTTAATAAATATTCTCTTAAAAGAATAATGATATATGATACAAGAATGTTAATTAAAATGATAAAGTAACATATTGATAAAAAAATAATATAATTTGAATTAATATTTTATTATTATGTAAACTTATTGACACAAACTGTTGTTTTATAATAAGCAAAAGTTTTGATGAAAAATAACAAACATTAATTTTTTTGCTATATATTTAAATTATTTTGATGGATGATTTTTAAATTCTCTATTAATTTCCAAATTATTTACAGGACTTTATTATTTATGATAATTAATAAGGAAAAAATGAAAATTTAGTTTGGAATACTTGGAAATAATAAGTATTTATCTGTGAAAAAATTAATGTATTTAATAATAATAATAAAAAATATTTATACATACATAATTTCTTTCAAATATAAAATTAATTAATATAAAAATCATATTTATAAAGTAATATTTTTAATAAAAAAAAATTGATATTAGAAATCGATTATTTTAAAGTTATGACTTTGCAGAGCACGATTTACTTGAACTATTCACGAGAGTTCAATATTTAATATGCTATCGAACTATTTTTAACCACTACGTTCCAATATTCCATGCAGCGCTTGGAATTTACGTTTCTTAGAGAATGTCGATAGAAACTAAGACAGAAGTTTCCTTATATAAAAATAACAGGCCTGTGAATCATAACATAACATAGACCGATAAATTTAACACTGCTCCATTTAAACTCTAAAGATAAACAACTGACCAGCAATCCAGGTGCTTTATGTGGGCATGTGTGCCCCCTCCAGTCCTCTTCAGCCAAGATCAATAATCCTAACTGAAGGGAGACAGTGGATGTATTCAGTGAGAAGGGGTGCGTGAATCAAGTCATTCTATAGGTAAAGCCTGTTGCTGCTACCACATTTCACAAGTTCACAGAACGTGCTACATTAAACGCCACATTAATTGTCTGTCATAAGACTGATTATCAATTACAAGATTCAGTGATGTGCTGTGGATATACCGAGGGATTATGGATAAGCTGGCTAATTGGACTCATGGTTAGTTTTTATACCTTTAATTTTTAATACACATAGGATGGCGGCAAGTGCCATTTTTGTATATAAAACGCGATCAAATTTTCAACATACTGAAATAATAATACGCTAAATTAACAGCACACACACACATGTTTCCTTTGTTGAACTGAAGCTTATTGGAAGCTATATCAATTCAAACAATAAATTATAATTTATGTAGTATACCATGTAAATTATATTATTTTGTATTATGTAAACTTTATGGAGTGACGTTTTATCATGACGTATGTGTGTGTGTGTGTGTGCGTGTGTGCGCGCGCGCGCGCGTGTGCATGTACGTATGTGCGTGTGTATGTACATACATACAGATATATATATATACATACATATATATGTATGTATGTGTATATATATATATATATATATATAGGTCATTCTGTTTTTAATTTTATGTTTTTGTCATTAATTAGGTATAAACGCAACAACCCAAGTCACAGGTCAGAACTGTGTATCAAATTCATCAAATTCTGCGTTCCTCTTAGACAAGTCGCTGGTCACTGCACCTTCATGGAATGCGATACAACAAGACATAAGATGGGCGTTTCTATTACATGCATACAGCTTTGCATGCCTCTTCTTTGTACTAGGATTTTACACACTCTTCTCTATTCTAAACTTAAGGTACATTGTTATGCCTACATTGATGATGCCTATATCAATGAAAGCTTTATGTCTTTATTTACTACTTGTCTTGCAGATCTCTCATATCAACCAGACCATTTATGTCCACGATTAATATATTCTTATGTTTACTCGGAGCATCGAGAGCTGCTTCCTTATTCATAGATGCGTACAATCTTAAAGAAATTCTGCCCAAAGTCATTGGCTCAATTATATGGGACATTGGATATCCGTGTATTACATCTGCCTTTTGTCTGATACAATTGGCTTTCCTGCAACTGACAAAGGTATTAATCGCTTAAATTGAATAAGTTATGTATAATTAAACATTGCCATCCTTCATATGGGCCATTTTCAGCTAAAATTTGGTCCAGAGAAGATACAGAAGGAATCCTGTCTCAGCCTCATTATAACAGCACATTTCTTTTTCATTATCGCCAGCGACATTGTTTTATCCTCCCATAATTGCTACATGGTGAAATACATGGTACAAGCAGCGTTTCTCGTCTGGAGCATTCTTTTGTATCTCGCTTTCCTACACGCGGCTTACAAAATTGATCATTTGCTCCGAACTATGCCAAGTAGTATGTTGACACGGGACAATTCCAATGCCCATCAGAAAGGTTGGTTATTTATTTGTACGTCAATTTTTGTAATTTTTATTCTAAAATTCTTATCTTTCATTATATAATTATGTTTTTATGCACATGGACTTAAAATTATCTCTCTTTTCATTATTCATGTATATTTTATACAGCGTTTGTTTTGGAATTATATCACAAAAATTTACTTATATAATTCAGGTATCATGCAACTCGCGATGCTGGCACCGTATAGCAATCTGGCGACTTCGGTTGCTGCCGCGCTGGTACCTACTTTACTTGGCCCAGCTAAAATGAAAGGTCCAGAGGAAAGTGAGCCTGTAAATGCGAATAAAAATGCGGAGGGAGCACCTCCAGAAGGTGGTAATAGGAGGCAACAAATATTTTATTAGGTGTTGGAATTAATTCGTAGCGTTTTACAAGTGATGGGAAGTACTTTCATTAATGTATTTTTTAATGCTCATGTGAAATAAATAACATTCTTTCATTAAAAACGCTACGAATTAATTCCAACACCTAATATTATAAATCATCCACCCAGAAATATATGTTTTATATATGTTTTATATATATTTTATTGAGATCTGTTTTCAGAATCGCGAGCCATAATTACCACCAAGGTATGCAAGATAGAAGGACCAGTGCAAAAGGAAGTACAGAATGTTACAATACCTATATGTACCGTACAATCACCGTCACAGGAACAAAAATCATCAGTACCGGAAGTCTACGTTAGACCACCCACTCCTACTCCGTCAACTGCTAATCTGCCGATTATAACTGTGTCCAGTCCGAGTCGTAGAAGTTCCATGACTAGTCGACGAGGCAGCGACACGTCCACAAAATCTTCGCGCAGAAATTCGGAGTGTAGCGTTAGATTTGTAAATGAGGAGAATACAACGGAATGCAAACGCACGACGGAGGGTAGTCCTAGATCGTTGCCAAGAATGCGAGAGGAGTTTGAAAGGAATCGCTCGCCAGAGAGTCCACGACGATACTCTGAGAATATCTCACCGACAGGCAGCACCAGGGAACTAAGACGATGCTCCGATTTTACTCACGAAAAGAATCGTGGCTCACAATTTGCAATTAAGCTGCGGAGGAATAGCGATTTTGGTAATAGAACGCCCAGAAGAATGTTGCCACCTGACGAACATCCTAGATTGCCCAAAGTCCTAGATGTTAGCCCCGCAGGTAAGAAAGAAATATATAGCTCATATAAAAGTAAATCTTTAAAAATATTCCAGTTTATATTTTCTTTTAATATTTTCTTTTAATATTATTGTTTTTTTTATTTTTATCCTATTTTTACATTGTTTAACAATATTTTAGGTTCAAGACGCAATTCCGATATTGGTATATCACCCAGACCCGATTCGCGTAGAAATTCCGAGAGTTCCTATCGACGCAACTCCGAGTTTATTCACATTAAACCGTTAATTATAAATCGTCGGAGTAGTGATATCAGTATCAGAACTCTAGATAGAAGTCCCACACACTTTCAGAGTATAGTACCTATTAAAACGGAGGTGCAGGAGAAATCTGAATCAGATTCAGATCATCCTGATTGCAGCGAGAAGGCAGCGCTGATGACCGAAAAGTCCAAGAGCAAAGAAGAAGAACCAAAAGTACGCAAAAAAAATTTGTCGTGGAATGATAAAAATATTGAAGACGCGGAAGACATCACGCCAGAAACTAACTTACTTCCCGAAAATACGTCTAGTGAAGCAAGAGTTATGGTACGTAAAATGCTTGCTATACCATTAGACTCATAGAATGCAGATGCATCTAAACTAAGTCTTGGACTTTCGAATGACGTCTTTTTAAATGCCTAGAACTTTTGTGTCATTTGAGAACTGTACGATCTCGCTATTTCCAGAGTACGGACTTCACCCTTCATTCGATACTGAATCATATCGCATATGTGAATCGAGCAAAATCTGATACGCCGCTACATATACCGGAAGCAGATACCGCAGTTGCCAGGAAATCTCAAATGCAAAAAGTATTAAACGTTACACGCGCTACTGCAATTTTAGGGATTCTTCTATGCGTCACGGATGCCTTTCGTATTTTTGGACCATACGGTATTTATAATAGTACAATAATAAATAACAAGTAGAAATTATAATTTTATTTTTATTTTTATGAAATATTCTTGTATAAAATAATATTTATGTATAAAATAATGCTATTGATGATTCGTTTTTAGGACTCTTTGCTGAAACCGTACCATACGGTACAGAACCAGCACCAACGCAGTTTCCCATGCCATGGCCGTGGCTGTTGTACCAAACGATACCCAGGATATTCGAATTTCTGATGGGCTGCGCCATGGCGAATATAACTAAGCAGCCATCAGTAAGTCCACGACATCAATATCTGAGTAATTATCCTAGTTATTCCCCGCGCATAAATCGAGGTAATAACCCTTATATATGAAGCAATAGTTCACCTAAGCGTAATCATAATTCAAAAATCAAGATGCCAAATGAAAATTTTTATTAATTTTTTTTTTATCACAGATCTTAATATTATTCTTTCAAGATAAATTATTTTTTGTAATGACTCCGTGATTGTTTTAAAGATAGATTTTACAGACATATATAATATTACCTCTTGTATTCGCAACAATTTATGTTCGCCGTTTTCCTTAAAGTGTGCTCACTAAAAGCTCACTTTTAACTGAAAAAAGAATTATTATAAAAAATTGAAGACTTATTTTCATACATAGTTTTAATATGAATTGTGATGGTTTCTGTCGAAGAGATACATGCAATGCAAAGGCATTTTTGTAATCAATACACGATAAAAAAAGAAAGACGGAGTCTCTCGAAAAATTTGCTATATACGAAAATATAGCAATAGATGAGTATAACATTCTAAACATGGAATAAATGTTTAAGCAAACATCTAATACAAATGCAATAGTTACGTAGCATTTCTAAAAAAAACCACTTTTTATGCGAAGTGTTCATTCAATGCACATATTCACACACAAAAACAGATATCTATTTTTTAAATTAGATTAGTTTCCTGATGGATTAATTTAATGACTTTTACTATGTTCTCTGAAAGATACATATACATATATATATTTTTTTGCTGTTGAACAAATATATCTATATATATATCATTTTTTAACTTACATATAAAATTTGAAAGAATATTTTCAAAGTAAAAAAAAAGGAAAGAGAAAAGAAAAATAGACTGTATATAAACAAAGATGTTAAATTAGTAGGTGACTTTTATTGATAATACGTGAAATAACGTTTTTACTGTGTGTCAACCGCACCAATGCTTAGAAGTAAAAGTATGAATCCAAACTCTCAAAGTGCCCTATTACTAAATGTTCAACAAAATTACAACAATGACTTATCTGCAAGTTGAATTTGTAACAGTGTTGTGATCCTACATGTGATATCATATTTATGTGTTTAGAATAGGAGGCCATTTTACGCTTATGTAAGCTTAAATAACACTATATTCCGTGAGATAAAAGACTGTAAAAGTGAGAGTTTATGATAAAAAAAAAACAGCTATCATAGTTTTATTGCAATCATATACAATTTATCGTATTTTCAATGTCTTATATAATTAAGATAGGTATTTTATTATGTTGCACCTGTCAATAATTTTAATTTATAATGTGATATATTTTTAATTTTTACAGATTTACAGCTAAACTTATATCTTGTACATGGTACATGTATATACCATGATATTTTATTTGTATTCGATATTAGTATTAGTATTTTTGTATCTTTTTTTACTTCTCTTTATTACAAGCTTATATATATATTTAATAATGTTGACTTTCTATTTATGTATTAATATTTTATTTATCTCTGTATGAAAGCAAATATAGAACAAGTGAGAAATTTAGTAGTAATACTTACAGGAGCATAAAAGGTCTCAGCGAGTAAATATCTGTTTGAAATTTATAGTTTGACAAAAGTAGTACTCTGAAATATAACATTGATGTTTCATGTGCCAAATACTCGTGTTAACTATTTTAAATGTTTACAAGAGATACAAAGTCTTATTATCCTAACAAAACTCTTCTACAAAACTATATATAGATATAGATAAATATTTATATACAATTGGATGTACAATAATAAACAACTATTGTTTTAATCAAATCGATAAGAATTTTGAAATTATGATATATATAATGCATATATATAATTGATATTTTTACTGATGCAAGATCGCAGATTCAATAGTTATAAAACAGATATAAGATGTATTACTAAAGTTTTCAATAGAAGCTCTCTATTGCTCAATAGAAAAGCTTTCTATTGTTCTATATATGAATTAAAAATGATTTCTCAACATGACTGTTTGGTCATTAAATATATGTATGTATAATGAAGTTGTGAATTATGATAAATATTATACATATTCAATCAAGATTGATTGCCATAACTGTTATTAATTATAAAAAAAATGTCTGAAAACCTTTCGCCCAAAAGTATAAAAGCTACAGTCTATATCTCATATAGCACCTCATCCAGCACTGACTTTATTCTTCTATTATTTATATTGCTTTATTATATTAATCTCAGAATTACCATATGTTATGTTTAAGAGGTATCAATATAATCAATAAATATGTAAAAGATTGATTGAAAAAAGAATTCTGTAGAAATAAAGATGAAGAAAAATTGAGCTATGACACACTTTTCTTGTGTATTTTGAATATACAAAGTTCTTATCTGGAGACACGAACGGCGTTAAGACAAGTGCAACGTCATGATTATATTTTACCAATCGCGAAAGCAGTAATGAAATCATTTTAAAACATTAAAAATCGATTTTTTGTACAGTCTTTGAATGATAAGGAAAAAACAGTATTTTTTAGCAAGAGACGTATATTGATTCTTTTTTTATTACATTTTTTTAGGCATGCTAGCTTTATATCTATTTCAACAAAATATATAATATTGCAAATAATTCTAAATTACAATAAAATGATACTTTCAAGCTAATAATTAATCTATCAAAATCTTTTATAAAAACGTAATAAAAATTGTTATTACTGTATTAGATTCTTGTTTGATAAGTATTTATGAGTTTGTCTTAATTAAAATTTATATATTGTAGTTGAAAACAAAACTCGAAAACGATAGCATAATTGATACTGTAATACACGTCTTGCATTTCTACTTGCAAAATCATGATATTAACTAAAACAAGACAAAAAAATTCGAATAAATTGTGCGATCGAATTACTCGAACAGTTATAATGGAACTCTATTTATTTCAAATACTTCACTGTTTGAATATATATGTATATATTGCGTAAAATAGGGCAATAGGAGTCAGGCGCGGTAATTGTTGCCCAAAACAAACAATGTGAATATAACACAAAACTCTTTATTAGATAACCCGCTTAGATGTTTCGGCTCATTTTTAAGCTGAAGATAGATTCGGCTAAAAAATGAGTCGAAACATGTAAGCGGGTTATCTAATAAAGAGTTTTGTATTATATTCACATTGTTTTGCGCAACAATTACCGCGCCTGACTCCTATTGCCCTATTTTATCCAATTTCTTTGTGATTAGTAAGGAATCTTTGTGAATCAACTTATGTTTTACATATATATATATTCTTACATTAAAAAAAATTGAGCGAAAATATTTATTGCAAACAGAAAATAAGTTTTTTCCTTGAAACCAAATTTAATTCAAGAACAATTCAAATATCTTCAAGCTCAAACGATCCGAATAATTTAAAGTTCGATTCCAAAATTCATACTGTTCGAACTATTCAAGCACATGAAAATTTCACACACATCACATTTTAAGAGTGTAATTACAATTGTACCCATTTTTTAAAGCCCTATTTATGATATTATATACATTACAACCTATGTTGTCTTTTATATTCTACTGATGATTTAGTCTCGATAGTCAAAATAATCTATTTCTTTGTCAGTAGTTTTAGGAGTTGACGGCAGCAATTGCTGATTCTGTTTTACAGGTAACGAAAGAACAGTCCTGCAATGCATGTAATTACATATTATTCATTTATTTATTAATTCGTTAATTTATATATTAATTCGACAATTACGCGGAAAAAACGATTTTGTTAAAGAATAAAAAATTTAGCTAAATACAGATCTATAAATAATTTTATTAGACTATCAAAATTATTACATAGGACACTAAAACATAATGAGCAATTCCTGTTTTATTGATATTGTAATGTTACAAAAAGTTTTAACAATTAATTTGAGCGTACTGCATAATTATTTTGATAGTCTAACAAAATTATTTTCAAATCTGTATCTAGCTAAATTTTTAGGTATTTAAGCAAAATCATTCTTTCCATGTAGATATCTTACTTTGTAGAATTATTTCCCTTCGAAGTATTAAGTACCGGACCTGGAACCTTTCTTTGTCCCTTCTCTCTTTGTATCATTTCTAGTAAACTGTAGCTTGGTAGCCAACACTGCAATGTGATACATTCGTTACTAAGATGATACATGCTTTAATTAAGCGAGTTTTTACCTTATCTTTTACGGCAGTGGCAACAACATTTCTCTTTGGCTCTTCATCATACGCTTGACTCTCGCAGCCAAAATGCTGGCACGACTCGTGCACAAAATGACGCTTTTCTCTGTTCATAACTTCAAATGAGTAACTCCGGGATTTCTGTTTGGATGTCTTCGCTAACTGCACTAATTCCGTCAACTTGTCGTGAACCATTTGACAGAAGTGCGGATCTTTTTTAGCCCATTGTTTCATGTAATCGCTATATCTGGGCATTAGTTTGCCGCTTAAATCTGGATTGGCGATCTGCAGTCCTAATGCGAGTCTTCTGTTTCTTTCTATTGTCTTACACTCATCGTTACATTCCAAAGTCTTTAACTGATTCTGCTTTTTCGCACCTTGCCCGAACACTTCTTCCAAATCGACAGAGTGACCGAGTTGCATATCGGCCATCTTACTAGCCAAAATGTTGCTTGCTATCCTTTGATATTCTCGTGCATTATCTGCACAGACACGACTCATAGTCCTATGCCCGCACTGGCACGTAACCTGTAATATAATCGTAAATATAATCTTAGAGTACAAAACTTTTTGAAATTTCGTAGTGATGACAATGGCTTCCAATCGCAAATAGATGATCACTTAAGACAAAAATTGTTTTTACCTTGACCATCTCTTTGCAAGGCATATCTGGACATTTGCCTTCGTGGCACGGAGCAGCACAGATATGTCCGCAGAGTTCTCTCATTGTAGTGCAAGGTTGAATGCATTGTTGTCCAGGTTTCTCGCAGGATCCAGCGTGGCACATTGTGATACATTTATGCCGTCCACATGACAATGGCTTATTACACGGCAGACCACACGAGATCTCTTTCACATGACACGGCACTGCCTTCCTGAGTTCATGTCTGCCGTGACACCATCTTTGAGTCAAGACGCTGCAAGGTGGACATGTAGACTCGCTATGGCAGTTGTGCAACACCTCATGGTCACAGAGGTGTTGACGCGAACACGGTCGATTACAAGTGGGTCTTCTCGTACCGCATGGTACCGGTGGATAAATCACCTCGGCGCCGCATTCACAATACAATTCTTCAAAACTGCTCTCCAAGCAAGGCGAACATCTTCCTATAGGAGAGAAAAAAAATTTCACTTTATATTGTCCAATTTCGATCATAGATACAATTATGTACTTACCTATATGACATCTTTCTTGGCACTTGTGCCGACCACAGCTTAAAGTCTTTGAACAAGGTAACGGACAGATGTGTTCAATGTCGATGCAGCACAGCTGATTACAATTATGTTTACCGCAGGTTCTCTTCTTCTTGCAACGTTTCTCGCAGCGCGCGTCATCGGCTTTGCTTGTCAAGTCCTTGCAAGCGATCTCACGGTCCATGTTACCGCAACGGCACTTGACATCAGTATTTAAGTCACATTCCGGGCATTCCCCCAAGTGACATGGTGCCTTGCAGATGTGCGGATTACCTGCGTGAATGAACAAAAATTTGATTCAGCGCGTCTGTACAATGATAAGACGCAAAGATTAAAGACACAAAGACACTTACTAGGCTGGCC